TGCTACATGTACACCATGGTGTTTACTTTAGTTTACACTTTGCCACGTGACATTACCCTATTGGACAGTTTAAGTTTCAAACAATTATTTCCTTCCAATTGACACTTGACAGCAATGCAAGTGTCAATCAACGTGTCAAAAATTGGTGTAAAAATAGGAAAGTTCAATCGGTAAGAACCTTGCGACATGTACACTATGGTGTACACTTTAATTTACACCGTGCCATGTGACATTACCCTATTGGACAGTTTAAATTTCAAACAATTTTTCCATCCAATTGACACTTGACAACAATGCAAGTGTCAAACAATGTGACAAAAATCAGTGTAAAAATAGGAAAGTTCAATCGGTAAGAACCTTGCGACATGTACACTATGGTGTACACTTTAGTTTACACCGTGCCATGTGACATTACCTTGCTGAACAATTTAAATTTCAAACATTTTTTCCATCCAATTGACACTTGACAACAATGCCAGTGTCAAACAACTTGTCCAAAATCAGTGTACAAATAACAAAGTTCGATCCGTAAGAACCTTTCGACTTTTTGACACATTGTTTGACACTTGCTTTGTTGTCAAGTGTCAATTGGATGGAAAAACTGTTTGAATTTTAAACTGTCCAACAGGGTAAATTTACGTGGCAAAGTGTAAACTAAAGTGTACACCATAGAGTACATGTTGTAAGGTTCTTACCGATTGATCTTTGCTAGTTGTATACTGATTTTTGTTACGTTGTTTGACACTTGCATTGTTGTAAAGTGTCAATTTGATGGAAAAACTGTTTGAAATTTAAACTATCCAATAGGGTAATGTCACGCGGCAAAGTGTAAACTAAAGTGTACACCATGGTGCACATGTAGCAAGGTTCTTACCAATTGAACTTTGCTATTTGTACACTGATTTTTGACACGTTGTTTGACACTTGCGTTGTTGTCAAGTATTAATTACATGGAAAACTGTTTGAAATTAAAACTGTCCAATGGTGTAATGTCATGTGGCAAAGTGTAAACTAAACTGTACACCATGGTGTACATGTAGCAAGGTCCTTACCGATTGAACTTTGCTATTCGTACACTAATTTTTGACACGTTGTTTGACACTTGCATCATTGTCAAGTGTCAATTGGATGGGAAAATTGTTTAAAATTTAAACTGTCCAACTGTGTAATGTCACATGTCACAGTGTAAACTAAAGTGTACACCATGGTGTACATGAAGCAAGGTCCTTGTCGATTGAACTTTGCTATTTGTACATTGATTTTCGACACGTTGTTTGACACTTGCATCATTGTCGAGTGTCAATTGGAAGGGAAACTTATTTGAAACTCAAACTATCCAACGGAGTAGTTTCACGTGGCAAAGTGTGTACAAAAGTGTACACCATAGTGTACATGAGGGAAGGTCCTTACCTATAGAACTTTGCTTTTTGTACACTGATTTTTGATAAGTTGTTTGACACTTGCATTGTTCTCAAGTGCCAATTGGATGCGAAAACTGTTTGAAATTTAAACTGTCCAACTGGGTAATGACATATGGTAAACTAAAAACTAAAGCGTACACCATAGTGTACATATCGTAATGTTCTTACCGATTGATCTTTGCTATTTGTATACTGATTTTTGACTCTTCGTTTTACACTTGCATTGTTGTCAAGTGTCAATTGGATGGAAAAAATTGTTTGAAATTTAAACTATCCAACAGTGTAATGTCATGTGGCAAAGTGTAAACAAAAGTGTACACCATGGTTTACATGTACAAGGTCCTTTCGGATTGAACTTTGCTATTTGTACACTGATTTTCGGCACATTGTTTGAGACTTGCAATGTTGTCAAGTGTCAATTGGATGGGATAATGGTTTGAAAATTAAACTATCCAACAGTTTAATGTTACGTGGCAAAGTACAAACTAAAGTATACACCATAGTGTACATGTGACAAGGTCCATACCGATTGAACTTTTCTATTTGTATACTGATTTTTGATACGTTGTTTGACACTTGCATTGGTGTCAAGTGTCAATTGGATGGGAAAATAGTTTGAAATTTAAACTGTCCAACAATGTAATGTCACGTGGTAAAGTGTAAACTAAAGTGTACACCATGGTGTACACGTAGCAAGGTCCTTACGGATTGAACTTTGCTATTTGTACCCTAATTTTCGGCACGTTGTTTGAGACTTACATTGTTGTCAAGTATCAATTAGATGGGAAAATTGTTTGAAATTTAAACTGTCCAATAGGGTAATGTCACGTGGTAATGTGTAAGCTGAAGTGTACACCCCGGTGTACATGAAGAAAGGTCCTTACCGATTGAACTTTGCTATTTGTACACCGATTTTCAACACGTTGTTTGACACTTGCATTGTTGTCGAGTGTCAATTGGATGGGATAATGGTTTGAAATTTAAACTATCTAGTAGGTAATGTAACATTGTAAAGTGTAAACTTAAGTGTGTACACCATAGTGTACATGTGGAATGATTTTTACCGACTGAACTTTGCTATTTGTACACTGATTTTTGACACGTTGTTTGATACTTGCATTGTTGTCAAGTGTCAATTGGATGGGAAAACTATTTGAAATTTAAATTGTCCAACAGTGTAATGTCACGTGGAAATGTGTATACTGAAGTGTACACCATAGTGAACATGAGGGAAGGTCCTTACCAATAAAACTTTCCTATTCGTACACTAATTTTATACACGTTGTTTGACACTTACATTGTCATCACGTGTCAATTGGATGAAAAAACTATTTGAAATTTAAACTGTCCAACAGGGTAATGACACGTGTCAAATTGTAAATTAAAGTATACACCATAGTGTACATGTCGCAAGGTTCTTATCGATTGATCTTTGCTATTTGTGCACTAATTTTTTACACGTTGTTTGACACTTGCATTTTTATCCAGTGTTAATTAGATGAGAAAACTGTTTGAAATTTAAATTGTCCAATAGTGTAATGTCACGTGGCAAAGTGTAAACTAAAGTGTACACGATGGTGTACATGTAGCAAGGTCCTTACGGATTGAACTTTGCTATTTGGATACTGATTTTCGGCATGTTGTTTGATACTTGCATTGTTGTCAAGTGTCAATAGGATGGGAAACTAGTCTGAAATTTAAACTATCCAACAGTGTTATGCCACGTGGCAAAGTATAAACTAAAGTGAACACCATAGTGTACATGTGACAAGATTCTTACTGATTGAACTTTGCTATTTGTTGTAATACTCCGAAATTTTATGCTCGTTTAAATTTCTTTGGGATAGCGATTTAACTTTCAATACTATTTTTGGCCATAAGGTAAAAGGGACACCACCTTTGTAGTGGTTAATGTTAGAGGTAATTAATGAATGTAAGCATGAAGTGTCAAAGGTTGTGTATGTATGAAGTGATTATTAGTTAGTCGAAACTTAAGGTAAGTTTGGATTTAAATAAAGTGGATTATTTTGTTAGGACTTCAATTGACCAAATGATTAAATTATGTTATAATCTACAATTTTTGAATATGTAAGTTGGGTATAAGTTTAAATTTGGGGTACACTTTGTTAACAATGAAAGTTAGCGGGTTTAGATTATATTAGTTGAAAAGATGAGAGGTTTCCTTTGTAAATCTAGGTTTGAGGCCACTTATTACTCTATAATCAACCCACTTGTCATCCATCATCACCATACACTTAGATAATAGACTAAACATGTGTAGAAACAAGAAAACAAAAAAAAAAAGAGGAGAAAAGGAGGTGAGGCGGTGGAGAAGAAAAAGGGAAGAAAAAATATCAATCATTTATCCTTATCTTTATATATATATAAATACATCCATATCCATTGCCATAGAGAGATTTCCTTCATTTTACAAAACACTTATACACTTAAAAAGAGAGCAAAACCGAAAATAAGAAAGGAAAGGGAAGGAAGTAAGACTAGCACTTCTAATTTACATCTCAACCGAAGATCTTCAAGTTTTACGGTACGATACTTTCCATGCTTAAGAGTTATGATTTTCATGGTAATATTTATGCTTAAGCTATGCATGAAAAACCATAATATGATTATGGTGGACAAGTTCACAAAGTTAGATATCTATTTATGCCTTAGGACAAGTCCGAAGGGCACCGGCAAGCCGGAATGTGCAAGTATGTGTTTGATTGCGTTCTTTTGTGTAGTATTATCATGATAAAAATCCAAGCATGGTATCTTACTGAGTATTTCTTATACTCATAGTATGTTATGCTAAATTTCAGATCCATGATCTTTGAATTGATGGAAGTTAGTTGGCTTAAGCGATGATGGATTAAGGACAGATGTTTTGTACCGAAAGTTTTCTTTTGTATGTTTTGCTCGATGACTGTTCTTCCATTTATTTTTCTTATGGTACTATGTAAAAATATGTACATGACATGATGTAATATGGTATTAACAGTAAATTTTGTAATTATATCTTTCATGTTATGTTAAGAGACGTTTTTATAGTTTAATTTCCTTGCAAGTGATAAAAGGCAGAAACGGGACAGTTTCTGGAGTCATTTTCAAAACGATGTTTCTAACTCTATAAATGTCCATTTGAGACTCTAAAAATATTTCTGTTTTCCTCTTTGAGTTTTCTAAATATGGCCGAAGGAATCACTCAATTTGGATATCTATGGCCTGAGTTATCAAGGTTTTAACGTCAAGGGGTCAATCTGGATTTCCTGTGTAATACTTCACTGTTTTCAGTAAAACGTCCATATCATATGATCTTGAAAAATTTT